CGCTATCTTCCGTCCGTTTGGGTTTCAAAGACATGAGAACAAAGCAACATATAATTTTGTTATTGTCTAAACAATTTGGAGATGAACAGTCTTTTAATCTGTAGACAGTGCTCGCATAGCGAGGAGCAGAGATAGGTGTAGAGAACGCTTCTAATATCCGTATTGGACCTTTCTCGGTGAATCGGCTGGGCGTGTTTTGCGTGTGCCAGTGCTGCCTCGCTCATGGCAGAGCTCACTAACAAAACCACTGTCACCGCGTCAGCTAGTGCCGCGATGATCGTCCACGCCCAAACGAGAGTCCATGGGCTTGCCATTTCACCCACCGACAACGCTACAGCCAAACCCCACACCGTCACCGCTGAATGAATCAGTGTAGAGACGAAAGACCATCGTGCGTCCAGGCTCCTACCACTGGCAGGTAGGGCTAGAACATGGTGAGTGGTCACCATCTTTATCACTACAAGGAGAAGCGCTGGCAGCAAGTGGGCAACCGTGAGAACTGTGATTACTTTTGCGAAGTTTACCGGTCCGTCTGTCACTATGAAGAATACTGGCAAGTCATCAAAGTCCCCTGCACATGATATTACCTGACATGGAAACCATTTTACTAGGAGGTAGTAAAAAAGACCACCAAAGAGAAGAATGGTAATCATTTGGGCATAGAAGGCGATGTTGAGCCACTCTAAGATTTTGTGGCTAATCTTGCCAGTGCAGAGATAGCACTCTGTGCCAGCAGCACAGGCATAGGTCCAGTTGCGGAGGAATTGTACCGCCAAGGTGAAGGGTCGAGTCCAAGCGAAGAACTGTGCAGCAGTGGTTATACCCACATTTAGCTGCGCGCTCTGCACAATTTGGATGCAGTTTTGCATCATAATTGGTATTAGACCTGCTATAGTACAAAAGCACGACCAGCGTTGTACTAGTCCAGTGCCGTTATTTTTAAGCGTTGCTACTTTAATAAAAAATGATATGCTTAAAACGATTGCATAGATTGATAAAAAATGGTTTACTGCCACTGTCAGAGCAAAAAAAATCCGGTTGGCTGTCCGATCTAACGGACAGAGATCATTCCAGTTTGTACAATTCATTGCACGATTCCTTTCTTTTCTCAGTACTGTCGATTTCCTGCGTAAAAACTGAAACCCGTCATTTGTTTGTGCCTGCTACAAGTTCAGCCTACCTCATAATCGATCAGCTCTATTCAAAATTGAGTTTTGAGGGATTAGAGAGGAACATTTGGCATCACCTCAATAGATTGTCTACTTTGAAAAAGATAAGTAGGTGGTGTTTATGGTTAAAGTGTTGCTGTTTGCAATCATTACCCAATTTTAAAGTTACAGTTTTTCAGATTTAAAGCAACTGCTGAAATGCACAGACTAAGTTGTAGCTGGGACTGATTGTGTTAACCATGTGAGACTTCATGTTTTTTTAAGCGCTAAGCTAGTTGCAGGTCTTCCTCTAAATGAAACACTGCGTAAATCTTATAGCGCAATTGACAATGACTAGATTTTCTAATAAGACTTCAAAATTTTTGTGCCCAAGGAAACGAGAGATGCATAACCAGATCTCTGCAGTTCAATACTTAACCATATAAGCTATTTTGGTTGCAGTTTGTTCCCTATAAAAAACGCGTCCATCGGCATAAAGCGCATGCACCGACAGGTCATCCAGTTTCGTGAGTCACACCTACCGGCGAGTGAATCACACTTGCTCGCGTTTCTGTCCCCTTTGTTCCCACAATTGTCGCTCCACTCCC